ATTTACCTAACCTTTTGTAATCGTTGTTGGTTTAGCGGTGTACCGTCATTAATTAGACTGGAACGAAAATAAACTTTAAAAAAAAGGTCGTAATAAATGTGGACGAAAATTTAAGCAAAACATAACATTGAGCTGTTTACGTAATAAAGCTTAATGTCGTATAACATATCACAGGCAAATCATTATTTTTCGCTTATACACATCGATGCAGATTTATGCTGATTTGTGCTTATAATAAACAAGATACGATATCATTATACCATGATATGTCCACCTTCAAACGAATGCCAATCAAAATATTATTATGACATTTTTGGAGTAATATAATATTATAAGTTATAACAATATGATTTATGGTTACTCGCGGCGGTCACAACACGTGCCGCGTTCGGCCCTAAAAAAAATTTTTCTAACACGGTCAAATTGCGCATCTCGTTTCAATTATAATGTAGCCCGTTAAGGTTTTTCATTTTTTTATCTACATTTTATTATTTTATTTTAATGTTGACTATTTACATTATGCATATAGTATACCTACTACATAGTATCGTTATTGTACTTTCAAACGATATTTGATTTTTTCCGTTTATCGTTTTTATATTCTTAAACATTCTTTTAATTGTTTGTTTTCTGCTTAACGTTTAATGTTTTTTTTTTTTATAAATTATATTGTTATTTTTTTTATAGAAAGGTAATCAACCACACTAAGAACTATCAAATTAATAGAATTTGTTTTCCAGAATAGGTAATTTTCAACCATCCTAGGGTTTTTAGTAGGTATAACTGGCAAGTTAGAGTTAGTCTAGGTGTCAAATATTGCTTAAATATAATGACATGAATGAAAGATGGAAAAATAGGCTTCATTAAAAAAAATTTTTATAACAATAATACAATTTGAAATGGCATAATAATGTTAATGTTATATAAGTACCTCTTTAGTAGGTAGGTACTAGCCTCTAGGTATTGACAAAAAACCATTGCAGTCTTATTGAAATTTGAATTACAGAAATAAACTAATATTCAGGTGTGTTACCCTGGCACCCCAAGTTCAAAATTTTGACTTGAAAACTGTGTGGTATTATGTTATTTATTATGTAACATTTTGTAACCGCAAAAAAAAAATTTGTAACCACATCGGTGCCCCGGAACACGGCGATACAAGTTCCGGGTGCCAGGGTAACGTTACCCCAGCACCCCAAACATTAAATAATTAAAATTTCGACTTGAAAACTGTGTGGTATTATGTTATTTATTATGTAATATTTTGTAATCGCAAAAAAAAATTTTGTAACCACATCGGTGCCCCGGAAAACGGCGATACAAGTTCCGGGTGCCAGGTTAATGTTACCCCAGCACCCCAAACATTAAATAATTAAAATTTCGACTTGAAAACTGTGTGGTATTATGTTATTTATTATGTAATATTTTGTAATCGCAAAAAAAAATTTTGTAACCACATCGGTGCCCCGGAAAACGGCGATACAAGTTCCGGGTGCCAGGTTAATGTTACCCCAGCACCCCAAACATTAAATAATTAAAATTTCGACTTGAAAACTGTGTGGTATTATGTTATTTATTATGTAATATTTTGTAATCGCAAAAAAAAATTTTGTAACCACATCGGTGCCCCGGAAAACGGCGATACAAGTTCCGGGTGCCAGGTTAATGTTATTTAATTAAATGTACAAGACAACAGCTCAAAATTTGATTTTTATTTCATTGATTATGGAAAAAGAAATTAAATGAATACGATGTTTTCATTTTCAATATCTTAAAATATTTATAAATAGCTAAATCAGTAATCAGTAGGCATTATAATACAATTATAAATATAAACAACACAACAGTAATAATTTCATCCTTATACTATAAAACGTGAAAACGCTGCCTATGGATTAAATCGGTACCATCGTAAGCAAACTTCCAATGAAAACGCTGCGTTTCGTTTCGAGGCGGCGCGGAGCGTTATCACTACCTCTTATCACTTTTTGGGATTTTTGGAATTTTTTAGATTTTTTTAGACTTTTCGAGTTTTACCCCCCTCGGGGGCCTCGGACGGCCCCGTTCGGACCTTATTCGCCTTCCCCGCTAAATTTACGTGCCGCACGCGGCCTCGATTTTTCCCCGGCGGGCCCGCGGCGGCGGATATCGCGCGCGATACGAGCGCCGCCGCCGCGCTCCTTTTTCGCATTTTTTTCCCGATAAATCGAGTTTTACCCCCTCGGGGGCCTCGGGTCGCCCCGTTTGCGTCTTATTCGCGTTCCTCGCTAGATTTATAGCCGGCGCGCTATCCTACTTTTTCAAAAACCGTGTCCCCCGGCGGACGATTCGCTCGCCGATGCCACGGCGTCGTCGCGATTTCGACGGTTTTTGCGACTTTTTCAAACAGAGTCGCGTTTCGCTTCTCTCCGAGACTTTTCACCTCCCCGTCGAAGACGTATTCGTGTTCCCCGCTAAATTTAGAGCCGGCGCGCCGTCCTACTTTTTCGAAAACGAGTCCCGTGGAGGAGCGGCGTCGCGGAAACGATAGTAGGTACATTGCGGGTATCGCTATATAATAAAAAAAATAAATAAATAAAACAAATAAATAAATTTAAAAAAAATTAATAAATAAATAAAATAAATAAATAAATAAAATAATTAATAAACAAATAAAATAAATAAAATCGGCGACGCGGAAACGAGAGTAGGTACCTACGTTGTGGGTATCGCTATATACAGGCATAAATACAATTCAAGTTCAATTTTTTTCGCGAATCTCAACGATTTGAACGTCCGAAGCTAGTCGAGACGGTTTTCCGCTTCCCGACGCGGTCCTAGTGTTTTTTAATGGTTCTTCTCCCAAATTACAATTTGATAATACTACGAATTTCGATTCATTTTTTAACATGATATTTTAGTGTTTAACTTCCTTCCTGTATTGTGTGTTTTTCTTGTTATAATCAAGGATTGTTATTTTTTTTTACTAACTACGTCATTTTTGTAAAATTACATTTACTGATGACTTTTTTATTGGTATACCTACTTACTGATGATATACTACCTACGTCTTATGCATGAACTATATTATTACAAATTTGTTAAAATACATTAAACACGTAGATATTAAATAATAAATATAAGTTATAACATAATTAAAAATAGCAATTAAAAATAAAGAACATAAATATATGTAATTTATATTTGCAATTAATCTTTTTAATATAAGGACAAATGCAGTTTGGTATGGCCACAGCGACCCGGCGGCGGCTGTCGTTATGATTATATAATTTGAATTTGTGTTGTATCACATCACTAATTGTTTAACTTAGATCAGCACAAGATAGTGGAAAAGTGGTCACATTAAAGTTCAAACATAGGTGATTTTTAAGCGATAGAGTGAAACACGAGACTCGTTTAACGCTGCTACATATGAAAAATATTTTTAATGAAATACACTTTAAAACCATTAGACTTCTTATGGTTTGACAGCTACCTAATAGTTTATTATTTTTGATGAATTGATTTGGGAGGGAAGGGGAGTTCACTTTTATTTTCATTGTATGAAACAATATTCAGAGAAACAAACCCCTAGTTGCTTAATTTGTAATTAATACTACTAAAATAACGATTTTAAATCAGTTAAATTTTTATCACTTAGTACAGTAGTTCTCAACCTTTATTGATTCATGTCAAATTTAGCCACTAGAATCAAACACTGCGTCACCCTAACATCAAAATAACAAACAATCTTAGCTGTATATTATAAAATTCTTCTTTTATTAAAAAAAAAAAATACAGTACACAAAAAAAGCATGTTCAAAACTTTGTCACTTTAAATTTAAACAGATAAACTTTAAATTAGCAAATAAAAAAAAATAACAGTTAAAAAAAAATAATGATTTATATAAATTTAATGTGAAATTTGAATATGGGTAACCCTGGCACCCCATTGTTCGATTTTTTTATTTTTTTTTTAACCATTAATTGTACTATAATTTGTACCAATTTGTACCAAAAATTTCCAAAAGAAAAGTCAAATTTTCCGCTGGGTGCCAGGGTAACGTTACCCCAATTATTTCCCTCGGAAAAATCAATTTTTCCGCTGGTATATCTAAATACGTCACTCCAGATAAAGTATAACTGAATAATGCATTTTATAAATAAAGGATTCCCTCCTTTTTCGAATGTATAAGATACTTAGATTTACCAAAATATAATAATATTTTGATAGAATGTGCTAAAATATGGAAAAAACATATTATAGTGAAATACCTAGTAAAATTCTAATTATCCTTCAAGTAACGATAAGTGAAAGATTAGCATCTTATAACTTGTTATAAATTAAGTTGTATTATATTGTGGGAGATTAATCGTTTTTGTTGGTCGTACTTTTAAATGAATCTATAACTATCAACAATAATTGTTAATTTACGAATGACAGGTATTCATAATTCATATTTCATGTTTATATTATTATTAGCAAATTTAAAATTAGGTCTATCCTTTTATAACCATATAAACTATTACCTAATATTCCTGTAATTTTTTCAAGTTTTACATTGTACTACCTACTGTATTATGCACCATACCATAAATTGCTATGTACCTATGTGGTTGTCTAAGTTGGATGAATGTAAAGTAAAATATATAACATTTTACAGGTTTGAAACTAGCCAAATTTATTCATTAATTTGATCCGCTTTGAAAAAAGATCCAAGTTTCAATAACAAAACATTATAATATGAACACTTAACATTCTAAATGTCAAACATTTATATCCAAAATAAACTGTAATTTAAAAAAAAAAAAAAATTATGTTTATACCAATGTGTTCACATATGATCTGATTTGTCTCAAAAAACAGGTACAGTTATACAATAATATGAACTATTGACTGAACAAAATTAAATAACTTAACACCAAATATGACAGGTAGTAAATTTATCACTTTATATATTTAAAAAACATTTTTCCACATGGTTTTTTTACGAGTTTAATTATGATTTTATAAAAAAACATTATTGTTCACCACTTTCGGTGGAAATCACGAGACTCCACTGACCATAATCCTCGACCGGCAACACTTGAGTGATACTTTCAGCACCAGTTACATCATCTTTATCTTCTTTAATTTGATCCAACTTTTGCTTGAGTCGAGCTCTGTCCAATTCCATAGATACCTAAAGAATAAAAATAATAAATTGTACATTTATACTGAAATATGTATATTTTAATTTTAATAAACTAAATTAATAATGAAGTTCAATAATACAACATTTAAATTTGTAACATAAAATTGTTTTAGTTTAAAATAAACATTGACATATTTACATTTCCTTCAGTAACGACTCTAAGAGATTCAATTAAACTCAATTTTGTTTTTTTATTAGGCATGTGGTCAAAGAACGTAGATCATTCTCTCACCATAGCTCCAACCGCAAGTTACAACTGTGATTTTCTTTTATTTAACAGTGAAATATGTTCATTAAGTAATCCCCATTGCTTAGCTTGAAAACATAGTTTTACAATAGCCATCAAAATTCGACTAGTTGAAGCTATATCAGATCCCTTAAAATAAAAATAAATAATCATTAGAAAATTGATTTTTATTTAAAAATAGGTGCCTGATTGTAAGTTCTTATGAATTATTATCCAAACATTTTCTTAATCTTTATTATAAAATCAGTAATATTTCCATATAGGCTCTCCAAACACAGGTCCTAACACATCTTATTACCCCTTAGATATTTTGTAAATTAATAATAATTTAAATAAATGTAATAAAAATTTGAACTTCAAGCCAATTGAAAATAATAACAATATTTCAAAATATACTTTTTAAAGAGTGAATAAATGGGTAATATGCACAGTTTTTTTTTATTAATTTAGAAAATCTACAATCTGCATAATATTACACAATAGGCAGAACATGATAACAGATATAACACTATATACATATATATAAAAAAAAACAACAACATGAAACACAAGATGAGGGAAAACAAGGGAAAAAAGAGGTTATCTTATATTTTATATAGATAAATTTTATTTTATTATCTGTTATTTTATCTAGATAATTTTAAAGTTGTCTTTGCACAACACTGATGAAAATTCATTACAATTTTATTTTTATTTGTACAGTCTAATAATTGCAGATGTTTGGGTGGGGTACCTATTTGAAATTGTTTGTAGCTTGTACAACTTGAATTTCTCAACTTTTCTAATAAAAAATCTAAGCCCCACAGCCCCCCTAATTTGCGCTTATGGTTTACATTAATATTTAATTATAATTTACAAATAACATCACACTTTATTACAGTATAACAAATCTATAGTTATGTGATTAATTCTTATGATATCAGTACAAAATATTAATTAAAATGGATACTAAAAAAATATATTGGATTATTGAAAATATTGTTATTAAAAAGGTTTACAGTAAGTTAAGATTAAATTATATGTTATGAGATTTGGTATACACATTTGTAATTCAGGGAATGAGGGGACACACTGAGGAGACTGATGATAAAGACATAAGCGATTAGTAGGTATGACTATTATTTGACAATATTCTAACACTATTTACCTACTTTAGTTACTTTAAGGTTACGTTATCCAAAGTTTGCATGTACAATGTAATTACAATCTTGTAATTACAGCTTCATTATATTTATTATATAATGCTAGATCAATTCACTTTATAATTAAAGCTTACTACACAAATTGAACACAGTTGTATATGTAATATGTATATGTTGTACTATGCTCTGGGGCAGAGGCTCAGTACATGAGCATATCAAATAACTCAGTAATTTTTCATATATTGTTTTTTAAATCTATGGCTATAACTATGTACAAAAATATATATTCAAATAAAAAAAACTATTAATTGTTACAATATTATGAACTTCAGCTGAAAGTTACGAGTTCAGTATACGCACTGTTGTAAAATAATAGTACAATTAAAAAAAAATATTACGTACAAATAATATTTAATAATAATTTATAATATATAATAAAATAATATTATAGTTTCAACAGGCTCATAAATAAAAACAAAGTAGGTAATTAAATGCAATTATAGTTAAAATATTCAGTTTGTGTATATTTTTCATTCAGTTTTTATTTTTTTTTTTGTCCTTAAAGGAGATTTAGCCTGACTAATCCCCCCCCCCCCCCAACATTTGTTCTAAACTGATGATATGAATATAAAAAAATATCAGAAAGCGACGGTCAGTATTCGGTAGGCAGCATTGTTTATAAATACTTCTAGTTTTTACCATACAGTTTTTGATTTAGGATATAGGGTCAAAGGCATGGGCCAAAGTGTTTTAGCTTTCCTAATCAACCATCATGATTTTTAAAAAAAAGGTAGAGCGGGTGATTATGATCTGTAGCCACCGGTAGATCATAATATTGTAGCTAAATGATTAAGCAAAATATTTATTATTAAAACAAAAAGTTAAATATCTGAATACTAAGTTGATATTATTTATTCAAACATCCTTTCAGAATTCAGTTTGACAATAGATCAATTCACACTATTATATTAAAGCTTACTACACAAATTGAACACAGTTTTACTATGTTGTACACTTATAAGTTAATAAGACAGTAAAAACACAAGTGTGTGATGAATTCTCAAAATCATTTTTATTATAAATAATAATATAATATCAAGTTTTACATTTAGGCAATATAATCAATAAAAAAAGCATTTAAAATGTAAAAAAGGCATTTAATTTATATAAAAAGGCAATTCATAAATATACTACAAAATAAAATAGTGAACATTTTTTAAACACTTTTAAATGCACACATTTTGAGAAAAATACAAATTAAAAATGAGCATGAATACTAAACTACATTAAGTTTATGCTATTTTGTATAAATAGATTAGGTACCTTTTTCTTTAACCCGGTTTGTCCTAAGAATTATTTAAAAACAATTTTAAATATTAACTTACTTGAGTTATACCAGTTAATTTAATGCAAAATAAACAAAAGGTAAAAAAAAGGCAAAAAGGCATTTATAAGTAAAAAGGCAAAAAAAGGCAAAAAAAAAAAGATCCATTTTCCAAGAAATTAAATGAAACACATTTTTGTATAAAAATTATTTTTCTATTATGATTAATAAAAGAAAGGCATTTGCCTTCAAATCCGAACCCTAGTAATATATTGAAATGTTGGAAATCTTATTTACTTAAAAATGTAAATTTCAATGAATAGGTACAATAGTTATATATTTTATAACATTTGTTATTTGTACAAATGTACATTAAATGTTTATTTAAAATAAAATAAATAAATGATTTTTAAATAAAAAAAAAAAATATTCAATCTATGCTCCTATCAAGTGTTTTCTATACCAAAAACGGGCTCTAAAGTCGTCTGAACAAGTCAAAAATGTTGCTGAATTTGGGGAATGCACAATCGAACGAATAGGTCCATTATGGCCTGCAAAATAATTCACAATTAAAACATTTAAGAGGACGCTACACAGACTTTTGTTGTATTCGTCTTACAAGTTCATTTCAGGAGAAAGGTTTAAAAATTAGAGTGAATCCACCTATTATGAAACTTGATGGTAAGTTCATTATCTGTGTTTGTACGTGGGTTTTTTAATATACTTTAATTTTTTTAGGAAGTTTGTGTATATAATATAGGATAAATTAAAAATGATCATAACTCACTTAAAAACTGATTATTGTAAAAACCAACATACAAACACAGATAATGTTCTTATCATCAAGTTTCATAATATATCGATTCACTCTAGTTTTAATAAAATAAATACATTTGATAATACAAATTACCTAGAGATAAAAGTTGCTGCCGAGAAGCATTGCGTGAATTCCATGCGCACAAAGTTGTACTGACTTCATCTGGATACATGACATACTCCTCAGTATGATTAAACAATGCTTGTGTACGATGTACTTGTTTTCCTATTCAGAAAAAATTGATTATTTATACAGTTTTAATGAAAACAAATACTAGTTTACCAGTTGTTCCAGCTCCAGTATATGCAATCAGACATCTACTAGTGGACAACTCCCAAAGTTTCACTACAGAATCTTTGCCTGATGATAAGATGTACTACAAATGATAATAGAAAATTATTTAATATAGGTTAAATAAACATATTTATAAACTTTTCACCTTTCCATTTCTTGTAAATGTCACAGAACACACTTCACTACCATCATGTGCTTTTTCAAATGTGTTAACACATTTATTAGATATACCGTCCCACAATTTAATTGAACCATCTCGACTAGAAGACGCAAAATACTTGGCACCTGGTTCATACCTAATACATCATAATAAGCAATACAAATAATTGAATAAACATTACACATAAGATAATTTTTGTATAAGTACTTTAATGATGTAATAGGACCAGTATGTTGATGACTAGGAACTGAACAAACATAACATTGAACTGTATTTACATCATAAAACCTTATGATTGGGCTATTGGTGCCCATTACCATATAGTCTCCACCGGGATGAAAACTTATACATGTTATGGGTTCGACATCCTGTAACGTTGTTGTATGAGGTTAAAATAATTTAAGAAAAGTAAACTTGATTATACATCTTACGTTAATTGTCTTGCAGGCTTTCTTCACGGATGTTTTTGAATAATCAAAAAGTTTAACATGACAATCTCGAGAGCCCGAAGCTAAAATTGGCTTGGTAGGGTGGAACTCTAAGCATGTCACTTCTTCCAAATGATCATACAAAGTCCGAATTACTGGATGACCCTGTCCTTCTTGATTATCAGTACTGCCAAAATCATGTGATTTAGCCAGCATTCTTTCAACATCCAAAATCTATAAATGTTATTTTAATAAGTCATTGAATTTTATGTTATAAAATATAATTACTTTGATTGATGCATCACTGCTTCCTGTTGCGATTATCTGACCATCTGGACTAAATGCACCAGCCCTACAGGGTCCTTTGTGTGATGTTACATATACAGTTTCATACAGCGACGGTTCAGGCGCAGTACAAAAAACATTAGTTTCAAATTCTAAGTCTAATCAAATCAAATAAAGAGTTCAATACACACATTTATGTGACAAATAAATCATTAAGCATACCAATGCCTGGTCCAATTAACAATTGCTGAATTGGATTTAAGTTTAATGCTTGTTCAGATTCTTTTTGTCTATCGGTTTCATGCTGTAAACCTTTTGTCACTACATTCATGAGTCGATCCGATGGAGAACAAGGCGGATCAGCGTTTACTTGGGTAGATAAGCTTGAGGCAATAGTGGAATGGCCATCATAAAAGAGTTGACTGAACAAAATTGATATGAGTTTAAATAAAAATATTATATTTTATATCTTACTAGAATTAAAATATACCTTATTATGAGTCTG